CCCCCCCCCAAGCCCCTTCTCCCAGGCCCTCCATACCTGTTTTCCTTTAGGAATGCTTGGTCATATCAGCTGTCAATACCTGTCAAGGCGAAGCCTTCCTGTACAACCCCATATACCGACTGCTTAATGTTTAGCCCATAGCTTTATTGTGAGCTCTTCTCTAATGGCTCTCCCACACCATTAGCAATTGTGTAAAACCAAAAACCTCTAAAGAACCTTCCTTTGCAGGAGGTTCTGCACACAGCTGACAAAGTCATTTAAATGTCCTGAGTTGAGTCACTGTCATCACTGACACCTGGGGTAGACTTTCTGTCAGTGTGTAATGTGACCAAGGCAGTGTCCACCTGTACATCCTCCTCATCGGACTGGATGAGGGGAGCTTCAGCGGTGTCCAGGTCAGTGCAGGCAGAGGGTGAGGCAGGTGGCTGGAGTGCTGATTCTGAGGAATTTGGAATCTGAAGAGTCATTTCATTATGACAGGGGTTGGATTCAAGCTCTGTTGAAAAAAGTAGAAAAGGTATTGCAGTTGGGAATTGCTTTTGAGGACCACTGTGTGAGGCTACACTACAGGGCTGCCTTCCTCAAGACACAGCCCAGTTCTCCCTGCAGGAGCCACAGGTGAACGAACTGGCTGACCGTGTGTTCTGTGCTTAGTTAAGCACCGGTGGCACAGGAAAAGACCAAGAACTCTGTAAAGTCACATAAGGTCCTGTTAAGCACTGTGCGTAAAGGGTAAAGGCAAATGCTACAAGCAAAGCACAGCCTAGATAATCCTATAGCTCCTTCAATCCCTATACACTGTTGCTAAGATGAACTCAGAATGCTCCAATTTTACACGGATTTAAGAGGAATAAAGATTTTGCAGATAACCAGTCACCATGAGCAAATCATTCCTATCTCTAGAGGGCTGAGAGGAGGGTGAAGCCCGAGGAATCAGGACCCTCAATACTGTGGGCCCACACCTGAGGCTTGAGGGTTGCCTTCTCTCCTGTACATGAAAGAAACAATCCCTGACTAGTGAAGTGCTGTTCGGTTTAAGGGTACAAGCCCACAGTCCTGGAAGGTCTTGGGGAGCAATTGCTGAATGAACACTGAGTGTCCTCAGTGGAATTCCACGTGCCATAGCTGCACGAAGGGGAAACTCAAGCCACACAGGACAACTAGTGCATTCCCAATTGAGTCCCCTGTCTGCAACAGAGACCCCACTCACTGGAGCCAGTGGGACTGACTGGAGCCTGCATTCATATGGAGTTCATGAAAAATGTTGAGTTCAAGAGGTTTGGCATTGGTCTAGTCTGGACTCTTACCTAAACCAGGGGACAGCACAGTGTTGTCCTCTCCATTGGAGTTCAAGAAGACATCCAGAGCCTCCTGGTCAGAGATGTCCATCAAGTCCATCTGCTCCAGCATGTCCACGTTCACCTCCATGGATGACATGCTGCCCATGGGCTCTGAGGATAAAAGAAATCCCACCTTTTCCCTTTCCTTTTCATGGTAAATGGTGAGTTTCAGTTTTATTCGGCTAACTACACTATCTTCTCCCATATGGTATTAAATGGTATTAAATGTCTCCTGTCATTACGTTTGGGCCTAGCCCCTTGTTTGCACATGTGTTTGGAAAAGATGCTCCTGCAACACACAGGGGTAGGTAGGAGCTGTTTCAATGAGCCATTAGGAAGTCAGGAAATTCCCTTCAAGGCCAGCACAACCAAAATCACAATTGGCATTTTCATGGTTGTTCAACGAGAACAGCAGCTCAGCAGCAGTTGGCCAGGGCCACCAAGCCTGAGTGCCCAAAGCAGGATGCTTCTCAGGGCTGATGCTAGGTCACCTCCCACCATCAGCTAAGAAGGAAATCCTAGAAATGAGGCAGCTTGGGATAAATGTATTATGAACCTTGGGCTTCACAGACAAGGAGACCCCTACAAAGTAAGTGGCCTCAAAAACAAAAACATTACAGATACATATAAGTCAATGTCGGAGAGGCTTCTAAAATGGACGGGATAACTAAAAGTTCACAAATTCAAGATGAGAGTGAGGTAAGCAGAAAATAACTAGAGGGTGCAGTGGATAAAGTCCCCACAGTGCAGCACAGTAACAAAGCCGCAAGACCTGAAGGCATGGGCATAAATAGCGACTCAGCGACTCCCACTACAAAGACAGAAAGGGCCTTCAGTTCCAGATAGAACTGTGTTATTGATGGGAAGGTAGGAATTAGTTCACTGGCATGTATGTATGATTTCTGCCTTTAAGTGTACAGTTCTGGTAATGTCATCCTGAGCCAGTCAAGATAAGCTTGGGCCGCAGGGACTTGAACCTATCAGATGTCACTGCAACAATGCACGAATGTCACAGCTAAGGGGTAAAAAGCAGCATTCCTTTAAACACTGGTGCCCCAGTGGGACTCTTGTGGGTGAGTAGGTACTGCGATTTCAGCAGTCTCAGTCTCTTCTGGCTTCTAGCCAGGGCTGTGACTTAAGCTTGGAAAGGGTGTGTTGGACTTGTAGGATAGTCCAGAGCCATTGGTAATCACCACAGAGGGGAATGAAATAAACCCAGCACAGGGGAGGAAGGCCAAGACATGAGCTTGAGTTCATGCCAGCCAAACACTGGAGTTTGTTTTTTGTTTTTGTTTTTTTTTTTTTTTTTTGGTTTTTCGAGACAGGGTACAGGGTTTCTCTGTGTAGCTTTGGAGCCTATCCTGGCACTTGCTCCGGAGATCAGGCTGGCCTCGAACTCAGAGAGATCCGCCTGCCTCTGCCTCCTGAGTGTTGGGATTAAAGGCGTGTGTCACCAATGCCTGGCTCCAAACACTGGAGTTGTCTGTATTCAGAACATACCATGCTTTTCAAAGTAGATACTGGCAGAACAACAATAAAAACACACCCATCCTCTTGGATTGTTAATGCACCTCCTCTTTAATGACTGACATAAGCTGTCCTAACTGAAGTAGAGACTGTCAACAAAGGGTAAGTAGAAAAACTTTAGGTATAAACATTAATGACAAAATATTTAGAGTGTTAAATGTCAAAAGTTGTCAAATTCAGCTAAAATAGTACCCCAATAGGAAATTCTTGCTTTGGATGTCTTACTACAGATAAAATCAAGTCTTCCCAAGGCCCATTAATCCCATCACTCAGAAACAGGCAGATCTCTGACCTGGCCATCAGCCTGATTCCTATGAGTTCCAGGCTACTTAGGGCTACATAGTGAGGTCTTGTCTCACTCAGAAAAGATGCCTGAAGAAAATCCAATTCTGCCAGGTCTCCTGAGTGCTGGTACAGGCATGTACTATCATGCTTGGCTACAAATGAATGACCTGTGCAAAAGCAAAGACTATGAGCATTGTGGCATGCTAATGTGTTTGAAAACTAAAGACATTTTGGTACGGTTTCCATGGAAACCATAAACACTGTCTAGGATATGCTCATCCTTTCAGGATAAACAAGGAATGTGCTCCAATGCCAAATTCCAAAATGTGGTCAGTTGTGAGTCTCAGAAACACTGCAATTCCAATCAAACTTCAGACTAAGTTTATTGAAGAACTTGAAGCGAGAAAAACATGGTGATGTTTGGGGTGAGGTGGGGTCTAGCTTGCACCAGGGTGTTTTTTCCTGTGTTGACACCAGACTGGAAGACTAATGCTCTCCTGTGTGAGGTAGGAATTAGAGTGCCCTCAGCCACTGCCTATGAGATCCTGTGGAATACTTTTAGCCCACTTTGAAGCAGAATCTTGCCAAAAACAATTTGTACCCAGGCATCACCAAGTGTCACCTGTAGTGAAACTACTACTTAATGAAATGTAACTCTAACAAAATCACAGTGGAATGTTCTAATCTGTAGTTACAGGTTTAAAACAAATATAAGGTTGCGAAAGCCAGTCACCTTGAGACATACTGTGCACCAGAGAACTATGAAAGTCAACATCCAGATTCAATGAAAGAAAGACAAGGTAAGAGTAAAATAATATTGCCAAGGCTAATGGTTATATTCTACAGCCTGATTGTAAGGCCCTACTGCTGAAGAGACCACTAATGTCATCAAACAATGAAAAGTCAAGCTGGTGCCCAGCTAGAATCTTCAACCCTATTGGCTAGCATTCACGGTGCTAGAAGGTACTTTGCATGTGTGGTGGTTTGGATAACAATAGCTCCCATAGGCTTATAGATTTGAATATCTACTCTCTAGCTGGTGAAATTGGGAAGGATTGTTGGATGTGGTGTGTTGCTGGGGTGGACTTTGAGGTTTCAGAAATCTCACATCACTTCCTGTGCGTGCATACCCCCCTCCCCCAACATACACACTCGCTCACGCCAGTACCATGATGGTCCAGTACCATGCCTGACTCCCATGCTCTCTGTCATGATAGTCACAGAATTTTAACCCTTTGAAACTGTAAGCCCCAAATAAACTTCTGTAAGTTGCTTTGGTCATAGCATCTTATCACAGAAATAGAAAATCACCTGACAGCATGCTACAGAAGAGGAAAAACACTCAACAGTTTAACCCAACTACACATCCAGTGACA